GCCGAATGCTGGCAAAAGGCGCGTTCAGCGCAACACAGCTGGCAAAACCAGCGAACGAGCGCAAGTGTCACACGTGCGCCGAGCAGGCAACCGGCGCCGGCGAGAGACAAGACTGGCGCTGCGCAGGCTGCGACCGACAGCTGGAGAAAGGCGCGTTTAGCGCAACACAGCTGGCGAAGCCAGCCAGCGAGCGCAAGTGTCACACATGCGCCGAGCGGGCAGCCGCTGCCGGCGAGAGACAAGACTGGCGCTGCGCAGGCTGCGACCGACAGCTGGGGAAAGGCGCGTTCAGCGCAACACAGCTGGCAAAGCCAGCGAGCGTGCGCAAGTGTCGCGCGTGCGCCGAGCGGGCAAGCAAGGGCGACGGCAGGTGTGTATGCGCGCTGTGCGGCGTAGAAACCGCGGCGGTGGCGTTTTCGCGGAAGCAGCGCAGGGAGCCTGCTTCGCTGCGAAAGTGTCGCGCCTGCTGCGGCGAGCCGGCAGAAGAGACGCCCGTGGCAGACGTCTTGCAAGAAACGGCGGAGCCGACGGCAACGCGACGCGGCCCGGAAGACGCAGGAACGTCGAGCAGTTTCGGTGGCTCGAGTGTGCAGGCACGGGCGCCCCTGGCGGCAGAGCTGCAGGCGGAAAGATGCGACCCGGAGGCTGCGAGCGCCGGCGGGGCCGACGCGCTACCGGCGGCTGAGTCCGAAGCAGACAGATTTGACGGAATCTTGTGCGCAGGCTGCGGTATGCAGCGGGCGCTGTGCGAGTTTGCTCGAGCCGAGCTCGCGAAGCCGACAAAGCGACGGCAATGCATGCAATGCAAGCCGGTGGTTCGGCGCCTGGCAGGGCATAGGACGTGCAAGCGGTGCGGGAGGTGCAAACCGCAGGCGGATATGGCGCGGGAGCGTCCGCCTGTGTGCAGGCCGTGTTGGAGTAGCACTGCGGACGCGTGACCGCGCGGCAAGCGGGCGGTTGAAGCCGGGGCGCCGGGAAGCGCGCGGAGCGAAGCGGGAGGGCGCGGCAGGACTGGTGCTGGGGGGCTTGAGAGAGCCCTCCTGGGGCGTCATTTTTTGTGCAGGGTTTCAGGGAAAGTTGCGGCGCAGCATCTGCAGTGTAGCAAGGACAAAGACGACCGGCAATTGCACGGTCAGAAAGCAAAGGACGGGAGCAGGCCTGGGTGGGCGGCAGGACTGAGATGCGCTAGTGGCCCGTGTAGGAGGGCAAGACTTGAAACAAGTTGCAGGCAGGCTTGGATCTGGAGCGAGGCATGGAGAAGTGTCAAGTTCAAGGCATGGGAGGAGTCTCAGGTTGTCTTGAACGACCGTGAAGTTTGGTTTGCACGGCTGGGTTCGACGGTCTCCCGGAGGCTTGCGCCAGACCAAGAAGAGCGGCGGGCAACGCGCCAGCCAGCAAGCAGAACGCCCAAGGGACGCTCGGCGGCAGCACCTTGAGAGAGCGCTCAGCAAGTCACATCAGACCCCCAAGGCTTCCATGCAATCCAAAATGTGGCTTGTCTCACTACCTTTGAACGCCCCCGCACAGGGAAGTGCAACAGCAGCCCGTCAGACGCGTTGTGTCAGTTTTAAAGTTAGGTGGTGAAAGTAGATGGATGAGACATCGTTGACTTAACCACGTGGAGGGACATGCGGGGCCTTCCTAAGTCCCGCGGCTCGCGAGTTCAGATCTCCATTTGTCAGGAGAAGTTTGTACCCAATGCCACCTCCCCACACACACCTGAGAGACGACTCAGCAAAGTGACGGACGGCTAGCGCGTGTCCAAGCTGGAAAAAGGGATGCCGGCTTGGGTAGCAACTACCCTTCGTAAATACCGTGCCCAAGGATTTACCCTACGTATCGAATGGGCCTGTGTTCGCTCTGTGTCAGGTTCTTCTTCTTCTTGGAGGATGTTCTTGGCGCCTGGGTTTGCTCAAAATCGGGGACCCTACAGATAATTGGTTTCCTTAAAACCATCCAAAAAGGGGTCCGATTCCTATTTTGAGAAGCCCTGACCTAACTACTCAACTTGCGTAGGAATGTCCAGTTGGGTCCTCGGCACCTGATTCCGAACAGGCGATGTGTTGGGGCAAGACTGGCCAAGGGCGGGGGGGCCCGTTGAGGGAGCGACCCGTTATTTCCATGCATTTATCGTGAAATTATCGGGCAACACGGTAGTTGTCAACGTTTCGCACAAGGGATGTCAAAAAACACGGAGTATTTTCAAGGCTGTCAGCAAAAGGAAGCGCGCAACCCGAGCCGGCAGAGAGGCGGCAGGGGGATTCAAGCCTGGGACCTCTCTCTGCATTGCAGCGTCAGACGGCAGGGGGAAGCGAGCCTGGGACCCTTATTTTGCGACGTTTAGTGGAACGTCATCAAACTGCCGCGCGGTGCTTGGGGGGGGGGGGTCCGGTCCTGTCCCCTCCATGCCGTTCAACCCCCCCTTCATGTCCCTGACAGTTTCTCCGGTATGCCCGCTTCATTGTCCATGTATGTCTCGTTCTTTCGTCGCAAGTCATTTCCCTACATCCCCCGTCGTGCCGATTGGTTTCCTTGTGAGACTCTGCCTGCAATCCCATGTTTTCATTTCTGTCCCTTGCATGTCCCTTTCAGTTCCCTTTTGTTTCCCTGTCATGTCCCGCTGCTTTCCTGTCATGTCAACTTCCTATTTCCTCCCCCCTATTTCCTTGCACTTCCTTGCATTTCCCCTTTGCTCCCCAATATTCCTCGCAAAAAAGCACGGTTTTTCCAGCGTTTTCGTAATCAGGACGTCAAAAAAACACAGAATTTTTCCAGATTTTCGGCAAAGGGAGGCAGGAACCCCAAACCAGCAAAGAGCCGGCAGGGGGAATCGAGCCTGGGACCCCTGTCTTGTGACACCGGCTCCCCGAAGACTACGTTTAGTGGAACGTCATCAAATTGCCGCGCGGTCCTTGGGGGGGGGGGGGGGGGCCCCCCCCCCCCCCCCCCCCCCCCCCCTCCCCCCCCCCACGTATCAGACGTCGGGTGGGGGGGGGGTAAGGGGGGGGGGTTATCCTCTATCCTCTCTTAGGTGTCCGACACGCCGAGCAATGTCGGCGGATTTCTCCGTGCGAACAAATCACTTGCCTAAGTGACCAATTATATGCCAGGAAAAGCTTTGGAACCAATGTGGGCGAGGGCCAAAATGGTCCGAAGCTCGAAGCATTCAGGACCTTCACAGAGGGATGGTGCCAGGCATGACTCCAGCCACAAGAGAGACCAGGCCACATTTGCCCACAGGGCGATGGGGACATGGGAAAAAAGGCCTCAGCAGGGATCAGATGCCGAAGAAGCAGCGGCAGCAGCGCAAGGGAAAAGCTTGTCCATAGCCATTTTTGCAAGCCTTGGCTTTCCTCCTGACAATGGCCACTCTAGAGGGGCCGCGGACTGCTGAGACTCGACCTCTGGTGCGCCGGCCTCCCTTATCTCGGCTGTCTGGAGCCCTTCTGGCTGGGCCCTGGGGCTTGGCGGGCGCCGCGCCTGTGGCCTGTTACGCGGTTTACCTCTTGCTCTTGCCGGCCAGGCCGTGCTCCCGACACCGCCCACAGAGGCTGCCCAACAAGCTGCGGCCTTCCTGGCAACGACAGTCCTTGAGGCGGACAGCCAATCGGGGCAACGCGTATGGAGCTCTCACAGCGCTACGTGCCGGCGCTTGGACGACCGTTACGCCGGCGCTCGGAGCGGCGCAGTCAGCCCCTAAGTTGCTGGAGGCCCACGCCTTGGATGTCTGCAACCAACGAATCCTGTCCCACGCCTGCGCTGCTCTGACCCCCTGGCTTTCCGTTTGAAGGGGTGGCCGTAGCCCGAGCGCGGGCACCGGCCCCAGACCTTCCGGCCGTCGTCCCGACCACCGAGTAGCTCTTCTTTCTGTTCACGAAGACGATGTCCTCGCACCAAAGAACGGCTTGACACTAATCACAGTGGGCCCACAAGCTTTGGCGGGTCGTTATGTCCACCCAGACCATGTAAGTATGTTCGGAAGGAAAGTCTTCTAACTGGATGTCATCAATTTCAGTCGGAGCTGCTTGATGCTGCCCACTTTCGGATGCTCCGCAGTGATTTGACACGGGTGCCTGCAGAGCAGGCTTTTGCAGAGCATGCTTGCGCTGGACAGTCAGCTTGCAGCGAGCTTGCCCTGCTGCACCTCGTTACACTATAGCCGTCGCACGCCATGTCGCAGACCCAACCCAGCCCCATCCCCTTTTTCGCCGTCGCTTGGCTTGCGTTGAGTCGTGGCGGCTTTCAAGTTGGAGCTGCGGAGGCGCGCTTTGCGTACTGCACTTTGCTATGCCTCGCTACACACCTCCGTGCGTAGTAGCCCTCACATACCGCATTACGTAGCCGTTGCGTACCCCGTTGCAGACCCAACCAGCGCCCTGGCCAGCGACCCCCTTTGTTGCCATTGCTTGGCTTGCGCTGAACAGTTGCAAACTTGAAACTGGAGTTGCGGAGGTGCTCTTTGCGTGCTGCACTTGCCCGGAACAGCTGCAACTTTTGAGCTGGAGCTGCGGCTCTGTTGTTCTGTGATACTTGTCAAGCCGCGCTTTCCCCGTGACACACCTTTGTAGCAAGGGCCGCCTCCGTAAGAAGATTCGCGGCGCGTCGCGTGTTGCATGCCCCCAGTAAGTTCATAGCTTGACAAGTTTCCAATGGCTCCCACGCGGCCAGTCAGGGCAAAGAACGATTTCGACTGAAACACGTAACTTCCTTCAGCGGAAACTGCGATTCGCTGGGAAGGGTTGGGCTCAGGTTTGCGTTATCCCCTTCTCAGGGTGGATAGCAACTCGGAAGATTGACACTGAGATGACAACGTAGCATGGGGCGTTGAGCTATCTGCAGTTTTTCAACTGACCAGTCCCGCGCTCTGTAAATACGCGCGATTTTCTTCTGGATTGCTGATTGTATTGGGGCAATGGGGCGGTGTTTGCAAGAGGGGGAAGAAGTCATGTCATGTCATAGCGCGTGCAATTTTTGTGCATATTGCGCTGAAGAAAGAGCAGGTCTATTTCGACATTGTAATTGGTGGTGAGCCTGCTGGCCGCATTGTTTTCGGGCTGTACGGCCGACAGCTTAGAGTTGCGGGTTTTGCAATTTTGTGAGCCGTCAGCAGCCACAGAGCTGCACGCCATGCAACACCATGCAGCGCCATGCAATTCTAACGTCTACGCCTGGCAGCGCTGTTGAGGCAACGTTGTGCCGAAGACAACCGAGAACTTCCGTCAGCTTTGCCTGAAAGGTCCTGGCGAGGGATATGGAGGCCGAGAGTTGTCACACTTAAATGTCGGAAACGTCCCTGGATTTCCAAAATCTGCGCCGGTCAGATTTTGACCACCTGCCGGCGGGGGGGGTAGGGCGTGCCAGAATTACTTTTGCAATCCACAGGGACACTTGAAGCAGCCATTGCCAGCAGTTTGCTTGCAGGGATTGCACGTATATGCGGAAGGCTGCCCATTCCACCGAGTTATCCCTGGTTTCATGTGCCAGGCGCGGCCAGTGTTTACTGATGCCCACATTCATGCATTCCTTCATTCATTCGCTGCGCTTGGATTGCGCTGCGCCAGGGCGGCGACTTCACGAACATGAATGGAACTGGTGGCCGAAGCATCTATGGCGCCATGCCCAGCTCAAACAGATCCACAGAAAGCCGGGAAAACGCAGCTAGCCAACGCTGGTCATACTTCATCGCCTCCGGCTCACATCGCCGACTTGACAGTTCTACTCAGCTGTGTGTGTGTGTGTTTGCACATGCTGCCGAGCAACCAAGCTTTCTGGCGGTGATCACCATTTTTGTGTAAATGGACCCTCCAGGGACCATTAGACTTAGAAGCCATGTGGCAAGTCTTTGCCTACCATCTTTGTGTGCCACCAGCATTGTGTTGCTACTTGACGTACCTGGTGATAATCCTTACTTAATTACTCACATCGCGCTGCTCTAGCGGCCTGAATCCTTTTATGGTTCTCCATGCGAAAATGAGGCCAGACTGTGTTTCAGTAAGCCTCCTTCGGAAAAGCCCATCTTGATACACAAGGGCCACCTTGTGGCGCCCATTCTTCCTCAGTGCGCTGACAGCGCCATTCTGGCGATGCCCTCCCCAACAAAGTCACACCCAAAGAACTTTGACACAAAAAAGTCAAAAAAAGGCTAGGATCTTTTACTTTGGCTTTGCCAACGCAACGTCTCAGTGACTTCCTGCGCCGGTGGGACAACTTCTTGCAGGCAGGGGCCTCCTGATGAGCAGGCCCCCAAGTCTTCATGCTGCTGATTGTGGGCAAGGGCCAGCGACACCCTGCAAACCGAGCGGGCTTGCGTGATGCTGGGCAATGCAAGCAGCATGCAGGGCAAGGCCAGCATTTGGTCTGATTGCTTTCGCGAAACCCTCCAACTAAACCTTGGACACACAGGCCATCGGGACGGTCAAATGTAAATGGCTGGAAGGGGCAAGGGCGCGCCAATTGAGTCGGCGTCCAAGCAGCCGTATGCACGGAGTTCAGCGTGAAGGAAGTTGGGTTCTCACGTTCCCAGCATTTCTTTGGAGGGAAGAAGGGAGCGAAGTGGGTTAGGCGGGCCTCGTATTCGTCACATCTCATCGAACTTGTCCATGCGTAGAAGGGTACACCGTGCCTGAGTATGGCATGCTGGTCTTTTGTGATGCTGGTGGCTGGTGGTGCTTGTGATGCTGGTGTGATGCTGGTGTGATGCTGGTGTGATGCTGGTTTCGCTGGACGGGCGGTCTAGAGGAATCAACACTCCAGGTCCAACCATCTCGGAATCATGCAGTGGCACACGGGCACCCCCCCGCGGTGCAAAATCCAATTTAGACTTGTAGGGGAGGGGCAGCGATTTTAGGGGAGGGGTAGGAGGTAAGAGGGGCAACGATGTGGCATTGGTGCCCAACATATCTTGCCTTGAAGGGCTTGAGACGTGAGCAAGAGGCGCCGGCGTACACGTAACTTGCAGGGCGGAACTAGGCTTCAGGAGAGCGCATGCCCATCTAGCGAGTCAATCTCCAACCAGTTTGCCTGGGAGCCTTTTCCAGGCAACAAGTTCGAAGATGAGAACTTCGAGCCAGGAACCAAAACGCTCACAGATCTCACACATCCACCATGGCCTTCGGGTCCATATGTGCGCACGTATAGAAAGTCACTCGTTCTTCTGACAAAAATGATTGATTCAATGATCCGGTACTTGGTGCATGATAGTGAACTGGACATGTGCACATGCGTTGAAACGGAGTTACAGTGTTTCAAGAGACCCGAAGAACATTCTTGTTTGGCCGCCATGCGCACTAGCAGATCTGCTGTATTATTTTTTCGGCATTGCAGAGCATCACCTTGAACTAAGGCTGAACCACACAAAGCCCGGCGCTCACTCGCCAATTTGGACTCTGCCATGAGCCAGACAAATATGAATTGAACATGAAGCTGTGATAAACACTTTCTGCTGAACCCACGACGTTTCACTTGTCAACCTCCTTCATTCTGTGCCACCTTGCTGCAGAAAACATGTTATTTCCTTTCCACAGGCCAGGACTTCTCAGCATGGCCAACGCTGGCCCCAACACCAACGGCTCTCAGTGGCGCTGGCGAGACTTGTAACTCAGTAACGACCTCGATCTGTGGGCAGCAATGTGTGGCCAATGTTTGTTTGAGGGCCGTTGGAGTTTACTTGCCCTTGATTCCACTTGATGAGAGTCATGCCACATCATTTCGCGCGCAGTTCTTGAGTGCGGTGGCAGGTTCTTCATTACCACGGCCCCCACCGACTGGCTCAATGGCAAGCATGTGGTGTTTGGAGAGGTGATGGAAGGATGGAACCATTGTTTGCAGCATCCCATTCGGTGCATAGAACAAAAGCCTGTGCATGTTGTGTGTTAGCTTTTCCGTTTGTCGTGTCGATGTCGATATTTGATTTTTGCTAGGATTGGATGTGGTGAGAAAGATGGAGTCCGTGGGTAGCCAGTCTGGGCGGCGATGGCCTCAGATGCCAGCAGCCTGTTGGCGCAAAAGCAAACTCATTGGAACTCTTGCGTTTTCATGCTCTTTCAGATCAGGTGCAATTGGCCATAGCATTCGCATAATCTGCGCGGCCTAAAGCCCGTGTTATAACTGAGTAACTGTGAACACAATGATTTGGCATGCGAAGTACTTGCAAGGACACGTGCACCAGTGGCCATCGCTGAGTCGGGTGAACTCTGAATTTTCAAGCCGGACTGACGGCTTTGGCATGGAACCGCATGAGTTGCTTTTGAAATGCACTCAGCAATCCGTAAACTCCTAGCTCGCTTGTGGACGCGCACGTTTGCGAGTGCAGAGGATTATCAGCTTCGTTAGATTGCAAAATATGTTGGAATGGAAACACAAATCAAGAGATGCAGCGCCACTGCTTGATTTTTGGACTTGGTCAGCCTTCAGCACCGTCGCTTAGACAGCTGAACATGGCACTTCATTGAGTTTGCGGGGCATGAGGTTGTTGCTGAGGATGTGGGTTTGCAATTGCACTTAATGTTGTTACACATGTTATATAGTTTGTGTTGAGATTAAACGTCGACTTTGTGTTGACACTGGCAGGACTTTGCATATCTGTGTTGCGTATTTTTGTAGGCTTAGTGCTGCTGTTTGCTTTGCCCAACCTGCTGATGCATTGCCGGCTGCTCTTCATGCGCTGTGAGATTGACTTGCATATTCACTGTTAGTTAGCAACATTTCTTTCCTGCATCAGCAAGCACTTGGCTCGAAAACCGTTCTCCAATCTGCAGCTGACCGTGCGCGGCTCAATCCTGGTACTCAAGAGATACAAGCTGGCATCAAGCTAAACCTGACTCAAGGCACCTGATTGAGCATGGCGGAGCAGGCTGTCAAGCTGCAGTTGATGCATCAGCATTGCTATTGTGGTAGGGGTCGATGTTCGCAAGAATGTTTCAGCTTATCTCAGTTAGCAGCTTAACTGCAGCTGCCAGGTCCCATACCTTGGCATGAGGCTGTGCGCTTGGTGAAGGAGCGAGTGCTTTGTTTTGCCATGCATCAACGCCAAGGTCCGCGTGTCGTTCAAATTCAGCAAGACATCGTGCAGCCCACAATGATGAGAGCAATGGCGTGAAGCTCGACGCTTGTGTCCGAATCAAGATGGAACATATCAAATGTCCATTGCATGGACTGCAAGGACACCAGGGAGCAAAACTCACAAGTGTTACTTGCCAACACCCGGCATACGCACTAGAGGTGAGGAGGAGCGGCAATGCAAAATATGCGTTCTCCATGCTCCCAACCGGTTGAGACTAATTGATGGCTTGCTGATGCTTGCTGGCCTGTTTGGTCTGAGGCTGGAGGCAGACAGCAGACCAGAGAGACCAGGGGGACAAGGCAACGAAGAGACTGCACATGTTGTTTTGACTGGCAAGCCCGCGTTAGTCAAGGAGGCCCGAGCTCTCAGGATGCGGGTCGCTCGCCAAAGAGTGCTTTCCGGACCCAAAAACAGTTAATGGCCCACAGTGCTGCACCCTTCACTATCGGTAAGTCCTAGCTGCATTCATCGTTGAATTTCTGTTCTACTGCTGGGACGGCCACCCACCCCCCTTCCTTTGTTTTCAGTGTGTTGTCATGACACAAGTCTGAAAGCGCTCAAGCTCGACGGCTCAGTTTGCAGGCCTTTCACCATATGCGGTCCCGCTGGCACCGGCACTTGGTTCCAAGTGAGAAGGCGGCAGTGCAAATGTCAAACTTCTACTTTTCTCATGTCAACAGCTTTCCGCTACCTGATTGCGGTACTGTTGTAAGAAGTGGCTGTACAGAGTTAGGGTTGGTGATTGTGACCAGGATGCCACGGAATTGCGGAAGCTTCTCAAATTCTACTTCGAGCCTTTCAACTTGCAACACAACCGTGTCGTGCTCTCAAGATGTAGCCGGTCTTCCATGTTCATATGAGTTGCGCACTTGAAGGATTGTGACTGTGCGGGAGTAATATTGGAGTAATGTACCCAGCACAGGTCTTCATGTCGCTGATGCAGGCGGAACATTCCACGCAAGCAGGTTGTTTGTCAAGTCATTGAACCGTGATGCTGAAATGCTCATTGCCCGGTATTCACTAGGTTTGAGCGACATGAGAATAGATCGCGATATAGCATGTCTCAAGTCAGAGCATCCTTTCAGCATACGCACAGTCTTAAGCCTCTTGAAGATGTGATGAATGTGAAACAGCAAGGCATCTCTTGAGATACCCAGTAGCTTGGGAAATTCGAGCTGCATGCGGCAGCCATGCTGCCACCTACCACTGTCCCCAACAAGGCTTGGGTGGGGTTGTTGCTGGACTGCAATCTGGGGTTGGACTTTGACTCTGCAACATTGCACTGATAAAGACATTTATGTGTATTGTATGTCACGAAAGGTAGCCTCAAGGAGGCTAGCTTGAGTTTGTCCTTGCGTTAGCAAGGCTAGACTTAGACTCAGGGGGGTCTGAGGGTCGGCCCGGCCGCAAAACCAATGAAATATGCCCCCCCCCCCGCCCCCTCCCTCCTTCGACTCCCACCTGGTCCGCCCGCCCCCCCCCCCCTGCGTGCCTCGCTGCACACTTCTTGCTCGCTTCGTCAGTGCCCCACTTTACATCGTCAACAAGTACTTCCCTGTTTCGCGGATCGGAAGCCCCTTCCTTTCCTTTTAGAGGGCACATTAGGGGAAGCCACTTTACGACACATTAGGGGGACCACTTTTAGGTATCCTACCTTTCGTGTCTCCCCTTCTCAAGTATACATATATATATATATAACTATTATTTACACAAGCCCATAGATGTGTGCACATGTTAATGACATGTTTGGCCTGTTCCTTTGGCTTGTAGGTGCTTAGAGCTTTGGGAAGAATGGTGCCATGTTGTTTGCAGGATGGCGTGGCGCTGGATGCGTTGAAGGCCTGCAGCGAGCATATTGTTCAGCCAGGACAAGCAGATGCATGGCGTTTGCTCGATTTGCAAGTTTTGGGCAATGCCTGTGGCCTGCATTGTTCATGTCCTTGCGTTCTGGGTTTTGGCACTAAGTTGTTCAAGACCAAGATCAAGAGCCTTTGCGGACTACACAAGCCTGCCCTTTGCAAGCTCTACTAAGCAAATCTGTCGTCTTGTTGTAAAGCGTGCAAGAACACGCGCATGTCAGCCCTGGATGATTTTGCAGGTGGTTCCCAAAGCAAATGAGGCCAGAGGGCAGCTTGAGCACAGAATTTCTTTGCCAGATGCATGGCCAGCATGGTGTGCCGAATGACCGGGGCAGCCCTGATTGCTGGGGTCGGGGATTAGATTGTCAGGCTGAGGCCAAGCCGGGCATGCCCAGAAAGTGCATCAACACGTGTGGCGCTGAGAGCCGAAGACATGGTGTCATGTGTTCATGGAGCACTCCCAGTTGTTCTTTCAGTGATTCAGGCCACAAGATCTGGAAATCTTCACGAGGTGCCGTGTGGTCTTGTTACGCATGTTGCTAGCTGCTAGTTGTTGCTGCTTGCAGACACTACTGAAACGCACTTGGCAGAGCCAAACTTCAATTGCTTGTGGTCAAATCGCGCCTTCGTGTTCACCGCTTGTCATTATTCTCCTTCTCCAGGTCTAAGCTGTGCAATCAGCTGGTGTCGTTCGTCACCGAGCTTGCCGAGGCAAGTAATGCATGCCGCATAAGCACGTCACAGAATCGAGTGGCTGCAGATTGAGATGTACAATGTGTAGACATGGAGGAAGCAAAGCATATCTCCGGTTCTGTTGTTTGGGGCCTTCTTGAGCATTGGGGCCCGGCTCAGCTGAGACATGGCACAATTTACCGGGATGGCCAGGCCACCAAGGGCCTGCCACTGGACCCGGCCCGTAAGTCCAGCGCCTCTCCATTGGTGCGCGCCTGAAAGAGATGGTGTACCTAATGGAAGGAGAGAGGAAGGAGGGGAAGGAGTGGGGAGGAGCGGGATGGGCAAAGAGATTGTAACGGGTTTAAGCCAATATCCACCTGCCCGGCCATCAGACTTAGTTGTCACCATCGATGTATTTTGCAAAGCAAGATTTACGCATATTGGCGTCATTGCTGCGACTGCAAGACATGGTGCCAGGTGCTGGCCCTGTCTTCGATGCTGGACCAGATGGAGTGGGCTTCTAAGTCCTGCTACAGTGTTGACCAAAAGCCCTAGCCACATCAGGATCATGGTCTTGCCAATATTTCTAGCCGGCCATGTTCCGCTGCAAAAAGAAAGTGCACAGAGAGAATCGAGTGCTGCGAGCCCGAAGGGAAAGCGAAAGATTAGATAGCTATCTTGCCATATCCAGTCATGCCGTCGGACACATGGATGATGGCAAGTGCCCGCGCCTCTTTGGCGATGGCATTCTTTGGGCCAAGGAGTTGGATAGAGGACTTTCCACCGCTGGCTCAGCCAATGCGCTTTGGGAACAAGGCTTTCCGAAACTGGCTGGGGACTGAGGCGGTGAGACAAACAAGTGGGCCTTCATGAACCTTCAATAGAAATGCACTTGTTGTGACGAGTGTTAGATTGGATTTGCCATAGCGATGCGATTCAATGAATGTAATATGCCAATGTCGTTTTCCTGACGCGCCGCGCTTGACACGGGTACGCCTTCCTTCAATAAATTGAGCCAGGCCTCTCTGAATTCGCACGATTCACCACATGTGGCAGACCAATATGCCAAGGCATCAGCGGCTGTGTGAGCGGGGTGAAGGATTGCTTGCGGAGGCTCTCAGCACAGCTCTGAGCTTCGACGGCATTGAATGCAAGTCTGCCAATCGCCGACGAATGGAATCATGCACCTGGCAATGTCCGAATCATGCAGCTTCCCGTTACTCCGAGGTCAAGCTGGTGAGCAGCACTCTGCCAAGGCCAGCTCTCAGAAAACGATCTACGGCGTGGGGGGAGACTTCTTGGGACGGAACGAAACGGCTTTGTATACGACTCGGCAATGAGGGAAACAACATATGCTGCAGGACAGCCGAAAGGGCACATGGACTTGAATTGGAGTGGAATAAAGACTGCGTATCAGCCAGATGGCAACATCACGGAGACATTGATGCTAGGTCACTGCTTAGCGTTGTTGTATTTTCGAGCACTTTATTGGATTGTGCCATTTGCACGCCAGCATCAATGTCTTGAGCATATATACTTTAGAGCCTCCGGCTCAGTCCGCCGACATTGTCCTCTCCCTTTTCTCCTTCTTCCTCTCTCCCTTGTCTCCCTCGTGTGTTCTGTCGTCCTCTCTCCCTCCCTTTGCTCCCCTTCCTCCCCATCCCCCCAAGCCTCTCTCTCCTCAATCTCCCTCTCTCTCTCCCTGTTTCTCTGTCTCTTTCTGTCTCCCTGTTTGCTTCACCTCTCTACTCTCTCACTTTCTCGCTCTT